TTTCATTGTAGAGCATGATTGGCTTAAATATTCTCGCGTATAGTGGTACATTTCTTCAAACTTCGGTGGGCGTTATATCCCATCGTTACCTGTACCGTTGGTGGGGCTGTGACCGAACAACAACGAAAGAACCCGTACGCTTGCCACGCGCTTCAGCGTTGCGTTGGGCGACAGAGGCATGGGATGAGGTTTCAGCATCCACCATCAGGAACTGCTGGACTCACACAGGAATCTTACCTCAAAGATCGTTAATGGCACCTCTAGGTAGCCTTCGTGTGGGCTCCGCCATGTCAGAGGACTTCTTGCTGCGTGATGAGTAAGATGAGTAACTTGAAAAATTGACATATGTGCGATCCTTTTGAATTCAATACCTTTTATATTTTATGAGAATCAGGCCGTGCAAAAATGGGGGCATCACTGTAATTTCTGTCCTTCGATGTGTGTGAATACAGTATGTTACATTATGCCAAGTTTATCTTTAAATTTTATTGTCCTTTCACAAATAATTCTCTGTATCAAAACATTTGCTTTGGTTAGCAGCTAAAGTAGTGTTTACTTCAGAAATGCTGTGTAAAATAATAGCCTTTCGGTTTAGAGAATTCGGTTCAAGAGCCGTCGTAAAAAGTTATGCAGGTTTATCGCCTGGGGTCACATGCCTCGTCACATTTATTCACACATGACACATGAGGTGAAGTAATTAATTACCAACCTATACCCATCAATCACTACATCACATGACTTGCACACAAATTTCAATTAACTATGTACGTGTGCATTTTTCCGTCGTTTCCAATTCACGTAGTTGAAAAAAATGCTTTGGGATGTGTAACTTGTAACAATATTTATCTTCCGTCTCGACAAACAACAGGAGCGGCCATGCACACCATGATGACCACACAACCGCAGCCATCACGAGGGCTCACCTTGGCCTACTTCCACCGCTTCGTCAACGACCACGGCGGCCGACAGGCATTTGATGGCCTCACTACTTTGGACGTGTGCATGCGCTTTGTCAAGCCAGCTACGCAACACGCCAACGTGTCGTTGGTGGACCTTGTCCTGAGCCAGCCAGAGGGACACCAGTTCGCCAAGCCAGCAGAGTGGCTGATCAGCCATTCGTGGTCGTACAAGTTTCTTGATGTTGTGGAAGCTATCGACAACTTTTGCCTCGAGCACGACCTCAGCCACGACACGTCGTTCTGGTTTTGCATGTTTGCCAACAACCAACACGCCATCGGCGATTCCCGCGGCATGTTCAAGCAGTGGCTGGAAGCGTTTCGCACGGCGTTGGTAGACACGGGCAAGCTCGTGATGGTGTTGAGTCCGTGGCACCACCCTGAGACCCTCCAGAGGTCGTGGTGTGTCTACGAAGTGTACTTGTCCATTGTGCTCCATGCGCGCTTCGAGGTGGCTCTGAGCAAGAGTCAAATGGACGACTTTCTCGTCGACGTCCAGACGACACATAGTATCGATCAGATGAAGGCGCAGATCAATAGCAAGCACTCGATCGCGACAGTCGCCACCGATCGCGACCACATCTTCGACCTCATCAGCGAGCAAGTTGGATTCGTTCAACTCGATCGCATGGTATTTGACGTGCTTCAAACGTGGGTGTTCCGCACGTTGGACAAGCAAGTCGCGATGGCGCATTCCCCACAGGCGCGGTTCACGTGGATTTTCACTAGAAGTGTATTGCTACTCAACGACCTGCAATACGAGAAAGCGGAGGCCGGGTTTGAGGCTGCAGTGGCCATATTCGAGCAAGAGCTGGACGAGTCATATGCACCCGGGTGGGAAGCCAAGTTGTACATTGGCACGACCAAAGTACGCCAGTTTTGCGCGCGTGAAGTCTGGGAGCCCATCTTTGACAGCGCGTTTCCCAAGCTGGAGCAGTTGCTTGGCGCAACTAACTCCACCACGCTGTACATGAAAAGACGCATTGCGGGCGCATATTACATGTCCAACGACTGCACTCGGTGCCTCGCGATGATGCGGGAGATGCTTGACGTCAAACTGCAGCTGCCGGAAGACAAGGAATTGTTCAGCGTGATGTTTGCCTACGGAACAACGCTTTTGCAACTGAACAAAAGGAAACAAGCGGAAGCGTGGTTGGTCAAGGCACACGCGGGATTGTGCCGTCACCTTGGAGCAACCCATCGAGATACGCTGCTTTGTCTAGGAAACTTGGCCGTGGCGTACGTTGAAACGGGTCGGTACAGCGAAGCCCTTCCGTTGTTGGCGGAAATCTACGAAGAATCCGCGCGCATGTATGGCGCCACGCATGAAGAATCGATCAAGCAATTGATGAGTTATGCTGGCGTCCTCGTGTACTTGGGCCGATGTGACGACGCAGCTGTGCACCTCCACGCGTGCATCAATGGCTTCGAGCGGATGAGTACTCCTATGTGGGACCTGCGCAGTAAGACCAAACTACCTGCTTGTGCGCTCTAGACATCGACAAGCCGACGGTTCTGCTATAGGCAAACATCTCCTGGGACGAATGTACTTGACGAAAGGTGACCTCAATCAAGCCGCGGCGTCGCTGGGATCCGTGTATACAAATATGTTCAAGTCGTTTGGTCCCCAGTACGACACGTGCCGGTTGGCATTGTACGAGTGGCACTTTGCGACCATGGAGCTCGAACGAGGCTACGACTGTTTGGCCAAGGTCGATGACTTCATGCTCAAGTTCCACGCTACAGACGGCGCGGGTGAAACGTGGGCCTACGGAGTGTGCCACATGTGCTGCGAGCCATTTCAAGGAGATATCGCGTTTTGCACCACATGTACCCCTTACTCGACCAAGTTTTGCTCCGCGTGTGTGGCTTCGGAGAGTTTTGAGGCAGTGTGTGGACACCATCGTGGCCCGTGGAAGGTGGTGAAACCACCGATGCGGTACCTCCTGGAACGAAAGCTTATCCTCTTGGCGAACGCTAGCCGATGGGACGACTACGCCTCGATTGCCGATCAATACCGTGCGTATTGCCACCAATTTCAAGTGCAAGATCCGATGCAGGCAAGCCCAATATATAAAGTCATGTTGCTCAGTGCCATGCGTAGGTGCTCCAAGCGCGAGACGAGACGACACGGCATCGGACACGATCGTGGGCTGTGCTTGGCGCGTTACTCGTGATCGTTGTCCTAACTCGTCGCAAGTGCTAGTGAAAGCGTGCATGTGATGGGCTGCATTCTCTCTCATGACGACGCCACCATGACTCAAAAACGGGATTTCTCTCGATCGTCCAAGTTGAACGTTCGGGAGGACTTTTTATTCCAAATCGTCCATCGCGGCAAAATTGGCGAAGCGTCTCTTGAGGAGGACGACACGACATAGCTAGCATGATGGACCGGGTGTACATGAGTTTAGCTCGAAAGTCGCTGGGTCATACCGCTCGGTGGCTGTCGCGCTCCCCGTGGCGTCGTGGACGGCGGGTGCGATCGGTGAATACACGGGGCCGCTGACTTTCTCCTCCCGAACGACCAACTTGAACGATCGTGAGAATATTTTTCCACTCAAAAATATACCCCCACTTAAAAATGTGTTAACAATTTGCTCATTGGCGGAATCGTACGGACTTTATCGCTTTTATCCGGATAGGTCAACCTTCAAGAACTCGCACGAACGCCAGCCGCGCTGCTCGATGGTGGACACGCACTTGTTTGTGTTCTATGGATCGCAGACTGGATGTGCCGAGTCCATTGCCAAGGTAGGCTGCGTGATGGAGATGGTGGCGTGTGTGGTCTCATGGATTTGTATGTGCAGCGCGTGCAGTCGGACGGGTTGGAGCGTCACATGACTGTGGCGTTGCATACGTTGAATGAGTTTGAAAAGGTATGATCGAGCAGGGCGGCAACGTACCTCTATGATGCGATCGGAGCTTTGTAGTGTGGTGTATTGACGCATCCAAGTGCCACCGTGTTGATTGTGTGCTCTACGACGGGCAACGGCGACCCTCCAACAAATGCAGAGAAGTTTTGGCGGTACCTAAAGAAGAAAGCACACCCGACGACACTGCTGGAGCATGTCCGCTTCACCGTACTCGCGTTGGGCGACACCAACTACGACAAATTCTGGTGGGTGTACATTATTCTACCACCTTACACTCCTTTCACCGACTGTGTTGCAGCTACATGGGCAAGAACATTCACCGCCGTCTTGGCGAACTTGGCGCTAAGAGTTACTACATGCTTGGTATGCCATGGAACACGTCATGCTGTGGTTTCTTAGCAGATTTATGGCACCAGGCTGCGCCGATGAAGCCATGGGGCTCGAGGACTGTGTGGAACCTTGGCTCATGGGTCATTGGGCAGCGCTCTCTGCATCCCCTGTGCCCGCTTCCACGGTAATTCCAAATCGTTCTAGCCTCGGACCCGAACGTGTATTCAGGTTGACACTTCCCTTGTGGTCGCGACGGGCGTGGACGCCATGACGATCGCTGGAGCATCCACCAATGTGAACAGCACGACAGCCGTACACCAAGTAGTACCACAGGACAAAAGAATCGATAGTGCTGTGGACCACTTGCACATCTTCTTCGGATCGCAAACTGGCTGTGCCGAATCCATTGCCAAAGTAATGCGCCCACCATAAATTGATTCGTGGCGACGGTATTTCACAAACTCATGCTTAGCGCATCCAAGCCGACGCGGCCGGCCACCACATCCCAACGAGTCTGAATCCGCTCAACGCGTTCGAAAAGGTATGCGCCATACAAATTCGGCATCACGAGACATGGGGCCTGCGGTAGGAAGGTATTTTGGCCTTGGCGACGCCGACGCATGTCGTCATTGTGTGCTCGACCACTGGCAACGGCGACCCGCCGACAAACGCCGAGAAATTCTGGCGTTTTCTCAAGAAGAAGGCGCATCCACGCACTCTGCTGCAGCACGTCCGGTTCTCTGTGCTTGCGTTGGGCGACACCAACTACGACAAGTTCTGGTGCGTCCACTTGTCGTCATTTGGAGGAAAATTGACATTTTCTACTCCAGTTACATGGGCAAAAGCATCCATCGACGGATGAAGGAACTTGGCGGCGTTTGCATGCACGACCTTGGTGTGTTGGGGGCTCACCCATCTATGGGTTGAGTTTGCTGACGGTGTCCTAGGCTGTGCGGATGAAGCGATGGGGCTGGAAGACACGGTCGAGCCGTATGTGTTGGGTCTGTGGTCGGCATTACTCGGCAGCGGGCTCAAGAATTCTGTTGCTTCGTCCACAATTCCCGCCGAACCAACTGCGGTCGTCGCGGACGGCGTGGAGAGCCAAGCCGTTCTGCCGATTGCGAGCGAGGGCGCCCCGGACACCTCGTTGGACATCCTGACCTATTTGACGGCGTATTCGACCATGTTTCCAGCGACTGTGGTGCCATCCGTTGATCCCGGTCGCCTTCCTCGATTCCAAGATGCAACGGTGACGGTGGCATTTGACACGTCGTCGCAAGTTCCAAAAGATATTCAGACATGCATTGCTACTCGGTCGGATTTCATGGCCACCATCACGCGAGCCAAGTACTTGACGACGCCATCGTCCACAGACCGCAAGGTGCTGTGGCTCGAACTCGACACTGCAGGCATGGGTACGCACCAACCTTTCGATGTCTCTCTCCGCTGTGTATGGTTTGGCACCGCTCATGGATGCTTTCGTAGGCATGACGTATGTTCCGGGAGACTCGATCGGGATTCGGTGTCCCAATCATGCCAACGTTGTGTCGTACTTCGTACGTCGACTTGGTATATCGTCGGACGAGTTGCATGCGCCGTGCGTCATTCAAAGCGTCAAGAAGGCGGCTATCTCTGCAAACGCCGTGTCATTGTTTCACCTCCTGACACATCACTACGACCTTCAAGCGCAGGTGAAGAAGGCAGCGCTGCGGGTTTTGGCGCAGTACTGCCCCGACGGATCCGACGACCGCCGTACGCTTTTGTACCTGTGCAGCAAAGACGGCCCGACGCACTTTCAGGTGCAGTTTTCGATGCTCGAAAGTTGTGCCTCAACTTCGTGGTAGCAATTCGTGGAAGCCCAGCGCCTGAGCTTGGTCGATATCCTCCATCTCTTCCCGACGTGCACTCCGCCCATCGCGCACATTCTGTCGCTCTTGCCAACGCTCAGCCCTCGGTACTACTCGATCGCGTCATCGCCACTGAGTCAACCTCCCGACCGCGTCCACATTGCATGTACTGTCGTCGAATATACGTTGCCAGTTCAAGGCAGCTCGACTGGCTACCTTCGGCGCCGTGGCCTGTGCACATCATGGTTGGAAGAGCTCGCGCAACCGCTCTTGGCGACGTGTGCCGTGCCCCTCTCCAAGAAGCTTACAGTTCCGATCTTTCACCATCCCACCAAAGACTTTACTCTGCCTGCAAACCCGTCGTATCCGTTGATTTTGGTCGGTCCTGGGACCGGGGTCGCCCCATTTGTCGGATTTGCACAGCATCGCCAGCTCCAAGTACGTCGACAGCACCTGTCTAGCAATCGCTCTTCTCAACCGCTCGCCACAACTCGAACTCATGTGTGCTCACGCATCGCTCGTGCTGAGTAGCGACTCCAGCACGCGGACGACAGCGAGAGCTGCGGGTACTGGCGGGGCAGCCACGCTGTTGAACTCGTCGAAGACGAGTTTGTGTTGGGTCCCATTGACGTGTTCTTTGGGTGCCGCGATCGCAGCCAGGACTTTTTATTCCAGCCAGAGTTGGAACGCTTCGTAGCCGACCGTGTCATAACTCGCCTCCACGTGGCGGCATCCCGTGAGCAAGTTCGTCCAAACCGGTGGCCATGAATCCACGACGATTGACTGCCTTCTTCTACCTAGGACACCAAGCATTACGTCCAGCATGACCTGGCAACGCACGGAGCCGCAGTGTACAACGCGATGGTCAACCAAGGCGGGTACCTGTTTGTGTGTGGCGACGGCATGCGCATGGCCAAGGACGTGCACGACGCCCTCGTTCAAGTGTTTGTGGACCACGGCAAGATGCCCCACGATGCGGCCGTCGCCGCATGGAAGGACCTGGCACTCCGCCAGCGCTACGTCCGCGACATCTGGGGTTAACCTTCGACCCGTTCGGAGGATTGCCATGACTCGAGGTGGTAGATGTCCATACGAAACTTCATTCAGAGCCGAATTAAGTCCACGTGCCAGCAAACTGCACCGGACTCACGACGCCGTGGGTCGTGGTGTACACGTCCATTTGGTGGTTCCACTCATCTTCGACGTCAGCGTTCTTCTTGGACGCGTACAGCGCATGCGCGAGATCCTTCTTTTGCGCCAGCGCCTGGGCCATCAGCGCTCTGTCCTGGACCAGGATCGCAACAAACAAAGCGTCGTTCCACTTCTTGGCGTGCATGCACGCTGGAAAGAGCGCCACACAAACCGATTCGTGACCACTGCGACAGAGGGCAGCACACGCACGTTGTGTCAACGAAGTTCCCTGAGCAAGGTCGTCGCCACGTGAGGAGAGATCTCTGCACTCAGGCTTCCCTGACACGTACCAGTATGTCGGCACTGTCGGTCGCGGTGGTGGCCACCAACGATGGCATCAAGTCGGCCAGCGTGTGCACGAGCATGTGCTTGATGCAAATGCTCGCTCGAAACTGGAGCGATGTGTTGGCGACTTGAAGGGCGTCGGCGGCAAACCCGAATGCCTACAACGACGAAATCGTGGCTGAATCCGATCGATACGATGGCGTCGTACCTCGAGAAATGTCGCGAGCCAATCTACCAACTCGTCGCTGATGGTCGGGGCGACATCCAGCGCCCGTTTGGGCAGCCCTTGCGCGACAAACATGCAAAACTGGAGCACTTTGTTCGTCAAATCGACCGAGTAGATGCTGCATCGAGTCAAATGCTTGCTCAGACACCAAATGACAACGGACAGCGCGAGGTGTGCAACTCATACCTTTGATGCAGCCCACATAGGAACAACTGCTCTTGGTACACGCCAAGGAGATTCAACGGACCGCCGGGGTGGCGCTGGGCGACAGGGAATTCGGCCAGATCGTCACCATCGTCGATTCCGTGGTCGTGGAAGCAAGTCGTGCTCGCAATCACAAACGAAAACGTCCGGCTGCCACAGATAAAGTAGCATTTGATCTACTCCGTCCACACAATGAGAATGGTCCACCCGCAAGTAGGAAGACTATCGCACCTCGTCGTCCGTCGCCGTAAAGAGTGTATGGTGTACCCACAGCACCGACTGAAGCGGCCGCGCGCACTGGATTTCATGCAACAGCGAGATCGTTGACGCCCCGTCCCACTTGATGATGGTGCACTTGGTCGGGTACACAAGGACGCCATGCTTTCCC